CAATGGGAAAGTTGTTTTAGGGCGTGTGGTTCTAACTTAAAATTAATACTAAATACATTATAAAATGCAAAATATATTATTTCAGTGAAAACGGGTTTGGCAGGATAAATTTAGCAAAGACTTTCACATTTACTAAAACAACCTTCAAACACCATACTAGTATATTACACAAAACACTTTTTACAAAACGTTGTTTAGGCATGCATTCTATGGTTACTTTTGTTGTTCTTTTTCTTTTTTATTAACAGAGTCTGTAAAAAAACAAAAAAAGGTTTATTTTTTTTGTTAAGAGAGCTAATGCCCATAAAATTTTTCTTTCAACTCACCATGTGAAATCTGAGAAGCTCATTGTATCTGATTTATCATCACGGGTTTATTACGAATCAACTTAACGGCCTGCTCCCAGTTGGCTTGTTAGCTCAATTGGTAGAGCGCTGCACTATTATCGCAGAGGTCAGTGGTTCGAATCCCGTACAGGCCTGATTTTTTTCAGGTCTGATTTTCGCTATTGCATAAGTAGCGGCAATAGAAATATTATTCACTATTATTGTTCATATGATTATTTGTTACCATTTATTTTTGATTGAACGCCTTTCTCTTGTGAAACAGCTCACTCACAAATACTGGTATGCAGCAGGTTTTCTGTTTGGCATGTGAGACAACTCTCTGCAACACTACTTTCTAGGATCATTACAACCTAGTTATTTTTAATGCTATACAAGTTGTGCTATATCAGTAGCCACATGCAGTCTCAGACTGCCAATTTTTCTTTTTCTTATCTTCTTTAGGCTCTCACCACAAACATAGAAATGAAGTTGTTCGCTTCCTTAATCGTTTTCGTTACTTTTTCATCGCTGATGTCAGATTTAAGCAGTGGACAACGGATTCAAGACAGACTTGTAAGTAATAAATGGTTTATGTCACTTGCTCACTTTTATTCGGTTGCGCAAACTTACAGACGCCAGATTGCGTGATAATCAGCTAACAATTGCAAGCGCCTTAACGGAAATATATTTCAGGTTATAAGAGTGATAGGAGTTGAATTCGAATGACGTCGGTCACTGAAGGGTTCGCCGGGGAATGAAAATAATTGGGGTCTATTTAAACGGAGATGGGGGACCCCAGGTAGGCGGGATACATGTAAGGGTAACCCTATCAGCAATTGTTCATTAAACGTCTAAAGATGGGGTAATCCGCCTTGTCAGGGTCGCGTTCATGTTATATTTACTAGCGCACCAATAATCTCACCCCAGTATCCCGGGATTGTATGTAGACGCATACAAGATTGTATGTAATCGCAGGCTATATTTCGACCACAGCTAGACGGATTACCTCACCTACCTGGGGTCCCCCACCTTCTTGCAAACATGCTCCTAGACTAAGAGGGTGAGGGTTAAAAGGGTTTCTCCAAGTTGTGTGGCCCTAGCCCTTTGAAAAGAATTTTACTATAGCCGCACTCATTATCATAAAAATCTCAGCCTTTTCTAGATTTTTGTTAATTACTTCTTAGGTAAACACGAGGTTTGATAAAATGGCTCTAAGACTTTAAACTAGGAACTTGCAAAGTGCATAGCTTCCAAATAACTGTAAAACTATATCCTTGAATTCCAAATCTGCATTAGCATGCCATGCAAATTTATAATTAGAACTCCTTTACTGTATTTCTTAAATTTTTTTTGGAATGATAAACGTTTAATTTTTTAACGACTTTTATATAATCAGAGTTTTTATTTTCTCTTAAATTTTCCAAGTAAATTCTAAAATAAACGTATTTATTGCATTTAGCGCCAATTCAATCAGCGTCGGCAAGAAAATGAAGACTGGAGGAAGTACCAATCATGGCATTTGGTAAGTTTCGTTTTCTTCAAGCTGCTAGAGTAATAACATTTTTACACTTCACTGCTTCCAGGTGTCAATCCATTGCTGTTTGCAATGTCATAACTTATCACGCCCAAACCGATATATGCGACAAAGTAATGTAATAATGTTTACCGAATGCAAAACAAACAAGAAATAAAAGATTAAAATCCAAGCTAAAATTTTAGTAACAATGATATGAGGTAGTATTATATAAGCACCCAAGCCTAATAAGCACCAAAAAGCAGTCGAGCTTTCACGCGAAAACATGATATCTTCACAAGTGAAAATAACATTTGTACTGCGAATAAAAAAAAAATGGCTGAACGGCGTTAGAACCAGTGTACATGGCTCGATGTTGTTGTCTTTCGATTCTGGCCAATTCTGGCCACAGAGTTCGCGTTTTTACTGTCGAGTTTGAGGGCTTCGGTAGTACTTAAAGTTTATGCCTTCATCTTTCATATCGCTAATTTCGGACAGTTTACTTTACAATTTGTTAATTAATTTCAGTCTTTGCTCTTGTGGCCGACAATTTATAAAGTTTCGGGCGCTCTGATTGGTTTCTCGCACTTTTTGACGAGCTTCTCTTATATTTATGTATAATTTATGAATATTGGTAATTTGTAATTTGGTCTGAAATCAAACGCGAGTGATTTCACAATCGAAAAAGCACGCAGTGAGAGTTTGATTTCAAATCACAGGTATGATTTTAGATAAAAAATTATACGACACGAAGTTCAATTACCACTTTATTACATCATTTTGAAATCGCAAAATTAAGTTGCTCAAATACATTCAGGTTTTTTAATGTGTAGAAATGCGATGCTGAGCTGTTTGGTGAAAAGTTGCAAGAGTTGTCTTTCATTTTCCTCTAATATTATTGGGTTCTTAAAACAAGCCTTGAAATCTGACTGGCTGTTGTGTTGTACAGGATCCTCACTGGCTTGGAAAAGATGAGATTTAGAGCGAAGAATGGTGCGGTTCGTGATCACCAGTGATTTCAAAACAGGCGTGATGAAAGCAATAAACACCTTTTATCGATTTACCAGCGTAATAAACCACTCGGGATGTTGGGAGAACACGAGAGAAGTTTGTAAACTACTCGTTTGGGCCTCGTGATCTGCAATTCTTTCTCATGTTTTCCCAACATCCCGCGTGGTTTATTAGCCTGTAAACTGATAGAAAGTGTGATTTATTGCTTTTATGTTCAACATTAGAACTGAAGCTTAACTTATATTTTAATTATAATTTAGCGCAAGGTAAGAAAAATCTTAGCTGATCAAAAATTTATTTTATCTTTGCAGAATAGTACAACCGTGTCTCTAAATGTCGCTAAAGCATGGAGCGCAGGTTATACCGGGAAAGGAGTTCTTGTAGCTGTTGTGGATGATGGCGTAAACAAGGATCATCCTGATTTGGTTTCGAACTTGGTGAGTTTTTTTCCGAAAGAAGATCTAGTTTCTTACAAATCTCAAGTAATAGTTGAATATTTTTCACCACTGAAACAGACTGGATGTTTCATAAAGCATTCTCACTTTATTGCAAATCGAAAAAAATACATGGCAAGAACGTGCAGATACGTTGCTTCTTTAGTCTTCTCTTAGCCAGTCAAAACTGCCGACAGATTTATCTGTACAAGTAAAATGCAATTTTGTCAACTTGAAGGGGAAGGAAATGCCTCCTAAGACCGAACAAAAACTAAAATGTGGTGCACATCTAGAAACAAAAACATTTACTCTGTCATACTTAGGAAGTTAAGCGAAGAAACGCAATTCTCAGAACATATCTTTCCGATCTATCTCCGCATTCAATGTGTAGGAAAAGCAAAATTGAGATTGTGATTCGGCGGATGAGTTTATAGGAGATACGAGTGAAGAACTGAGAAAACAACCCTTACAGTTATATCCATATGTAGATATTGTGACTTTTGGTCTTGTATCTTTCTTTTTACCTGAGGGAAGTAGGGATTTCTAATCAAAGCCAAAAGTGCACAAATCAAAGTTTGAACTCTCGACTGTCAACCCCTGAGTGCACTGCAGTACTGCATTGCGTTACTTTTCTAATGCCACCCCTTTTTCCAACTTTGCCCTGGATGCATGCTTCCAAATCTCTGGCGCAATTCACCAACTATTGACCCCCTAGTCTTCGCCAGCCATTTCCTAGGGAAGAACGATAAGCTGGGCAAATGGTTTAATGTCAAATTGAAGAGGGAGTTCAAAATACTGAAGAGAAGGCCTCAATAAGCCCAATATCACGGAAGTGTACATCATTTATTTCCATGTGCCTCTGCGCGTGACTCGGAAAATATTTGTTCTGTGTATAACTACGTTTAACTGTGGCTGTTTTATCTTATATTTATTTATTTTTCTTATAATAGAATTTTAAGGCGAGTTATGACTTTTTGAGTAACCGAAGGGAAAACGCAAATCATAACTCAGACAGGTACGTAATCGATTTCGCTTTGGCGCAGTAATATAATTGTTACTAAGTGTTTTGCCAAAATTATTTGAAACTTAAGTCTCACGAAGGTTAATCAGTTCTAAGTGCTTTGTCTGTTTAGCAGATTTGGCGTCTCTATTAGTTTGTTTGATTGTTTTAAAATCCTTGTGCTGGTCTAATGATTCAAGGGGCTACAAGGCCTCATCCATATTTTTCCCGTCGAGTGCAAGAACGTATTAAATTAGGACTTAATTCCCAAACAGAAGCTTCCAGTTCACCGTAAAAACGTCAAATTTTAGCGTGGCTGTATTGATGTGAACGTCCTCGCTCGTTTTGTTACGGCGTAACGAACTCCAGTGTATGATTATAGCTACAAATATCGAATGGTGGCGTGGCTCACAGGTCTGACCCATTTCGTTCGATGAAAGGGATGCAAATTATCAACATATCTACAAAAGTACCTTATTTTTTCTTGTTTGACAAATGATATGTGCAGACATTTTGTTCATTGCTCGTACGCAACATGCAATAGATCCGAGCCATGTTCTGTTTTATTGTGCATGAAAAAATTGCTTCATTCTGATAATAATAATAAATAATTTTGCAATGGACATTCCACTGGGTGGCTTTTCTTGTCCACTGTTTCCAGATCGTATTGAAATTTGGAATGTTGGTTTTTGCGGAGGGAGAAAAACCCTCGGAGCGAGAACAACAACTAACAACAAACTCAACCCACGTGTGACGCCAGGTCCGGGAATCGAACCCGAGCCACAGTGGTGGGAGGCGAGTGCTCCCATCACTGCGCCATCCCTGCTCCTGATTGACTATGATAAACATTTTTGTGAGATAATATGAAAAAAGAGAGAATTCAGAGCGGTAAAGGAGTAATTTAATGAAAGAACATTACAAAAAAAGATCCAAACATAATATTTTAACAGCGACAAATAATACCTAATCTTTATAGTGTGATCCACGATGACGTGTTGACAACTGAGAGAAACGCCATTCAACTTCGCAGACAACTGTCGTCAAGTTTTGTTGAAAACAACAACAAAAAAACACTCTTTTCTCAATGCTGAGTATTCTCCAAGAGCTCCAAATCTCCCTTTAACAAATTAGACTAGAGAAAAGGAAAATGCTTCAATAATTACGACGACGATCTTGTGAAGCCCCCGCGGCTTTGAACGGTCAGAGCATAACGCGAAAGGTAAATCTGGCTCTAATAGTCTTGCTTCTTCCTTAAATTTCAGTCATGGAACACAGTGTGCTGGGATAATTGCCGGAGGAAATAATACGAAGTGTGGCGTGGGAATCGCTTTTGAATCACAGATTTCAAGTAAGAGATCGAGAAAGAAATTGATATAAGTATCTTTCCTCGTACAATGACATGAAAGATAATTGCATGTAAGTTCAAATGAATTGGACACTTTTTAATTTGCCCGATATAAATAAATTTACAACAAAGGCGTAGTTCACGCTGGGCGTGCGCATATCATATCATTATATTTTGTCGTTTAACAACATTGGTTCATACGTCAGCGTGCGTTCGTCGAGATATGAAGCACGCGGGAAGTTTGGAGAGCTCGAAAGATGCGTAGGAGTTGCTCGAGGCGTAGCCGAGAGCAACTCTAGCTTCTTGAGTGCTCTCCAAACTTCCTAAGTGCTTCTATCTCGATGAAGGTACAGCTGACGTATAAACCAATTGTTTTATAACATTTTTAACGCTGTAGTTTGTGTAAAACGGGCAGAAATTCCCTCTCCTACACTTCAATGCATTGCTTATTTTGTTTCGGAAAAGTATTTCGCCATGCTTCAATGATCTTGTCTCAGATTGGTCAAAAACTGTCAGGTGCATTCATGCGTGGAAATGAAGTTAGAGTTCCGAGACGAGATGAAACCGATGATTGCTTTGTTTTCCCTTTCTCTGGGTTCTTTCTCGGGAGTTAAAAAATCCATTCCAAAAGAAAAAGTAGACAGATCTTCATCGGTTTGTTCGCTTGTTGCCATGTCTAGTTTAACTTTTTTGCGGAAGTTTTTCCCGTTTTTTAATGAAAAATGCTGAAGTCACTCGCGAGAAAAATATTTTTTCGCGAGGCATTTGTTTGCTGACGTCACCAGTGTGCGCAATGGAAAATTGAAGCACGCTCGCGCTGTTGAATTTGATTGCACGAATTTACAAGTTATGTTATAAATACTTTTAAATGTTCTATAGTAACAATTGTTCAGCCTCTTTAACAACATGCTACACTTAAGTCAAATGATGTATGGCTAATGAACTCTACATTTTCTATGAAGGCTGTTTAAAAGATTATTGCTTTGATCTCCTCTCGCTAGGCATTCGATTATACGACGAGACCATCAACAGATATTCAACTGATGAATTAGAAGCCAAGGCCTTAAGCTTCAAGAGAGACATGATTGATATCTACTCCAACAGCTGGGGGCCCGGCGACAGGCCATTCGAAGTGGAAGGGCCTGGTTCTCAACTTAGAGACGTGCTCTACAATGGGACTCGACTGGTATTAAGCCAAACTTTTAATTCACTCCTTTTTTTGGGCAATTAATAGCTTCTTGTCAGAGAAATCATAATTATTAATAGCCCTTTTATCCCCTATATTTATCCTCTTTTCGGCGAGTCACGCTAGTAATTGATTGGCACCTGCGTTCACTTATACACCATTTAGGGGCGCAAAGGCAAGGGCTCCATCTTCGTCTTTGCAGCGGGAAATGGTGGAGTACTTTCAGACAGTTGTGCGTATAATGGTTATGTAAACAGTGTCTATACTATCGCTATCTCTGGAGTGAATCATGATGGGACCATACCAGCATATGCTGAGCCGTGTGCATCCATCATGGCTGTGACATATGGACAAGACATGTTTAGATATGGAAAATATATACCTCCTGTGGTGAGTGCGATTGTGTACTTTCGTATATTTTACGTAGTTGTCGTTGTACTTAGCCGTTACGTTTGACCTAATACGATCGTAGTTGCAGGGGATTTGATTTTATAATTTTTCACTGCTTTCCTTGAGAATGAACTTAAATAATAAGAAACGCACCTCGCCCAATTAATCTCTGAATTTTACCGCTACGTTGACTTCCTCTATCGAGGAAAATACTTGAAGTTGTCTAACGATGATTGACGATGATTAAAAATGATTTTTGCGATACCATTTCAATGTACCTACCATAATCACCCGAGTGAGCGCCGAAAGTTAACTCTTTACCGTCACCCTAACATCAGATTACATATTCTCCATATTGTTCTCTTTACATTTCCTAAGGTTCTGACAGGAAGAATTTGTTTAACCATCAAGACCTCCTTTAGTTGGTGATCATTTTCTTTATTCTCCTGACCTTAATGTGTGATTTAGGGGTGATGTTGTAAGGAGAAATTAGATGCTGGTCACTCTGTGGTCAAGGGTTAATAAATGCCGCGATCCTGATGCGGCGCTGAGTCGAAGAAATCTTTCGCACGCTGCGATCCTTCATAAGCAGTTGCATAATTGAGGGAGCTAGATGGATATCCTTTTTTTGCACATATTCAGACGCATACGAGATGTACTGTTCCATGCTATAGCTCGTAAATTAATTTCAAGAAATGATCAGTTAGATAGAAGTTGAGTGAAGACACAACTAATTAAATAGAAAAATAGCAAAAGAGACAAATATCAGTTACTGTACAATTTCGTTCAGATGGAAAATATATATGTGTTATTGACCAAGTGTGAGGTCAAAGATGGCTGAGTATTGGCCGAGTTCTCTTTTCACATTTTTTATGAACCGAGACGAAGTCGAGGTCCATAAAAACTAAAAAAAGAACAAAAGGCTAGTATCCAGCCTTCTTGACCAAAAAAGTTTGGTCAATAAAGGAGTCATGATATAGTGAAAAAAAATTCGCCACAATAAGAATCAAGAATGACCTATTTATTTCGAGAGCCGGGAAAGAAAATCAATTGTGTTTGAAGCTCAGTTTATCTAAGAGGTTCATTTAATTTTTTCTCTTTTTTTTCGACTGTGCTTCTGCCGCTTTTTCTGACTTCGTCACTGACATTCTCCAAAAGTGACGAACTTCTCAAGTAAACTCCATGCACTTTTTCTCTCGCGCTGGATCAAAGCGGGCGGTCCTCAACGGACAAGGTGGGCCCATCTTGCCCGCTCGGGGACCCAATCAGAACACAGGATTCGCTTCATCTTGCCCACGGACGCTACGAGCTGTATGATAAAGCAAAAATATAGAACATCACTCAGTCGCTACTATTTATTAGTTTGAGTAAGCACTGCCCTCAAATAGGCGCAACCCTCAAATAAGTGTCGCTCTCGAATAAGCGCCGCACTTGAGGCGCGAAATTCCAAATAGTGCCGCAGTGCTTAACCAAATAAATACGTTAATTAAAAAGGAAATCATAAAAGTTTTCAATTGCGAACCCCTAAACGGGAGAACTGAATTGTCAGCATTATTTCTAGTCCTTCTGGCTGATAGGGTAAAAAAATTTGGAACAACAGGATAAATGTTGTAGCTGCCATTCTCGAGACTCCAAAATAAACGAATTGTTAACACGTTCTTTCATTCGGATAAATGTATTGTAAAAGAGTGAGACGGAATAGGAAGATGTATAGAAAAACGGTAGAAAGGTTGAAAAGACTGAGCCGAACGAACAAACGGTTAAAACTAAAATGAAAAAAAAAATGACTTGTGGCGGTCAAAATATTCCTTTATGCTGAAAAACTCAGTAGTATTAAAAACATTAACTGACATTTACGATCTTACAAATGTTTTAGAGAGTATCAAACTGTAATCGATTGATACCGAAGCCTACATTTTCAATGAAACAGACAATCTGTATAAGAAGACACTTCCCTTTGAGTTTGCAAAAGTTTGAGACTACTACATGGACGACGGGCTCAGCAGAATTTGAAATCAACGAGATAACTGAATATTGGGTTATCATGTCAACTTTACAACCTGTTGTATATTGACTATATACTTCCGACCAGTCAGAGTTTCAAAGTAGATTTAATGTAAAATAATTGTTAACTTCCGCATTCGCTTGGGACTTGGATCAATGTCTTCCTTGCTTAGGTTCCATTTGATATGGATTTCTTCATAACCTATGTGTATCGTCTTATATTCCATTATCACCTTACAGCGCAAGAGATACTCATGTCATATTTAAATAATTGTTAACTTCCGCATTCGCTTGGGACTTGGATCAATGTCTTCCTTGCTTAGGTTCCATTTGATATGGATTTCTTCATAACCTATGTGTATCGTCTTATATTCCATTATCACCTTACAGCGCAAGAGATACTCATGTCATATTTAAATAATTGTTAACTTCCGCATTCGCTTGGGACTTGGATCAATGTCTTCCTTGCTTAGGTTCCATTTGATATGGATTTCTTCATAACCTATGTGTATCGTCTTATATTCCATTATCACCTTACAGCGCAAGAGATACTCATGTCATATTTAAATAATTGTTAACTTCCGCATTCGCTTGGGACTTGGATCAATGTCTTCCTTGCTTAGGTTCCATTTGATATGGATTTCTTCATAACCTATGTGTATCGTCTTATATTCCATTATCACCTTACAGCGCAAGAGATACTCATGTCATGTTTAATGTTATAATCAACTTAAGGTCACAGTGAAAGGATCAGCTGGTTGCACAGAGAAATTCCCCGGCAGTTCTGGCGCTACCGCAATGGCTTCTGGTATAATTGCCTTGGCACTCCAGGCAAAGTAAGACAACCCATAATCTTGATTGATCCGTCAATATGCCTGGTATCGATAGTTATTATGACGTAGCAACAATGATAACGATTATTATACTAATAACAACAAATAAACAACAGTCTAGATAGATTTTAAAGCGGCAAATGTGAAAATATAATGTGTAAACATTATCAGCATTTTTTTTTTTCGAACATGTTTACAGCTCAAACCTGACCTGGCGGGACGTTCAACATATAGTTGTTAGAAGTTCCCAGCCCATCAGACCTGCCAAGAAAGTTCGGAGTGCTTCTCGCTCAAGGCCTATCTGGACAGAAAATGCTGCTGGTCTAAAAAGTGGGTCCATAATCAAGCTTACAGATATTAGTCTGATTATAGGATTAAAGAAAAGAAAAGCGCCCCAAGAGAATTCTTGAGTTTAAAAGCACTTGAAAAATTTTAAGGATTCGAAGAGAAGCACCTACTCCCCCCCTCATAGATTTTTTATCATGTGGCATCATTTCAATGATAACGTATTTATTGTGTGCACTACACATGCACTATGGGATTTCTCATATAAGACCTCAAATTGCCGTTCTATCTTCCGAGTGTTATTAGAGCTCCTACATGCTTTTATTTACCTTCCAGCGGTAAATTTTTACTTAAAAATTATTCAGTTATTGTATTCTTTTGGTAACTCTTTAGTGAGTGAAATATTTCCTTTTTAGGGTTTCACGGCCAATACTTCTAGTCTTTGTATTGTATTACTTAATTATTAAAGTAATGTAAAGTAAGGCAACAGGTCTTGAAACTAAACTGCAAAATACAGTCTTTCATATTTCACTTGCTGAGTGATCGACTGTATAGACCACTTTCATAAATGGCTGCCCTGTAAATATTGTTTTGTTTAAATTTAAATTAGCCCTACTGGCCTCGCTTGAGATAATGTATTCTTTTGTGCTTTTGTGCTTGTGATGCGCTTGAGATAATGTATTCTTTTGAATTTTGTACTGGAGAACGAGGCCATTAGGGCTAATTTCAATTTAAACAAAAGAATATTAATCCGGCAGCCATTTATGAAAGTGGTCTATGTGAAAAATTTTTATTATCCTCTTTTCTTAGGACAGTCAGAATGTTTCTGAGGTTGCGACGTGCCGTCTCAACACTTTTTGTGAACATCTTTGTATTTTTTGTTACATCTGTTTCGTTTTTAAAAATGGCTTCTTTTAATTTTAACCCGCAAACAACGGGAAGCTATTCACTGTTTGGATGTAAATAGTCACCTCCAAGCCAGCCAATCAACGCTCGAAAGTCCGCAGCTATGCACGTTAACCCCTTACATTCACAATGCTAAGTGTTAAGTTTCTTTTTTGTGCATTAGTGAGCAAGCACTTTGGATTTGGGTTGATGGATGCTTTCAGTATGGTGAAATATGCGAAGAATTGGCGTCCTGTACCTCAACAGCTTTCCTGTGAACTCAAGCTAGACGTCTCAAAGTAATTGTCTACTAGCAGTCAAAATACTGCAATTAGTGCAACTTATTGTTTCATCGTCGTCTCAAACGCCATTGTCAGGAAAATACTCGTAGGGGTCGGGAAAAGTTAGTAATACAGAAACTGGAACTTATCTAGGTCTCTAAATCTTACCGTTCCAACAACACTTGCATGGTGTTTATTCATCACACAAGTATGGAATGCGAACATGTTTAAACAAACTTTATACTGACTCGTTACGACTCTTACAAACACTTAATTGATACTGATGTTGAGACGACACTGAAACGTCGAAAACGAATTCTTTCGTAGATCTTTATTAAAATTTACTATCCTTCAGTCATCCACTGTCATTGAATAACTGTTTCGTACCGTCCACATTTTAAGATTTTCTCCAAATGTTACTTTTAAATGATACTTGAGGGTCACATTTAAAAAGTTTGCAAAGTAATCATTGAGAAATAACTGAGTAGATTTGGTATCAAATAAGACATAGTCGATGGAGGATTTTGTTTGGGGCTATTTATTCCTCTTGTTCTGAAAGATACGTATTAAAGTTTCATTTCTTTAAGCTTCAAGTTCCTCTAGAGTGGTGATTCGTTCCCATGAAAACTCACGCTTCACCTTAACTCTGAGGCACACAGACTGCGGTATCAGATATTTAGAGCATGTACAAGCAGAAATCAATCTGCAGTTTCCTCGTCGAGGTGAACTGGAAATGGTTTTAACGTCACCTGGTCGAACTGAGTCAAAACTTCTTTACCCACGGGTAATGGACACTTATGCTGGTTTCCAAAATTATACAAACTTGCAAGTAACTAGCCTGGCTTACTGGGGGGAGGAGCCTACTGGTGACTGGAAGATAACGATAGGAAAAGCAAGAAAAAGATGGAGAACGAATAACAATAGAAAAGGTTTGAGAACTATCTTTTAAGAATGTGATAGATTCCTTATTACTTTTATCTATGATTTACTTTCTTAATTTTTAAGACAGGTGTCTCTGAGATATGCCCTAAGTATCAGTGAACTATTACACTTAATGCCCAATTTAAAATATTTCACAAGAGCTCTCTACAAATGCCTTTTTTTTAGTTCAAGGGCTAAGCAAAAACAATTATAAGCGGTAAAGCTTTTTTTTTTCAGTGTTTGAGCTTAGAACATCATTGAAATGCGGCATTTAACTTATGTAGCTACATGTACGCACAATAGCTAGAATAAAATGTATTGTCATCAACTAAATACATTCGTCTTTAAATGGCTCAAGTACGATTACTTGGTGGAATTACGAAAACAGCGCGTAGATTGTAAGTGTTAGAAGATTTTTCTAACACTCTTGTGCAGTTGACTATTTTTTATTCTCCTTTCTTATACAAATTTCTACTTTGAGGTCTAGCTCAGCTCTGAGTAAAAATGTTTGTTACAGGCTTATAAAGGTGACACTTACTAAGATGTCAATCTTCATGCTTCGTCATCTTAGCTAACGAATCACGTTAAATACAGTTACGTTTACGCAGTGGTTTACGCAGTTACAAAATCATTTTCTACCTGAACTTCTTACATTTCCAGTTTTAAATTAGTTCTGGTAAAACAAAAACAAGATTTGCAATATAAAAATTATAAGGAAACCGTTGCGTAGATTTGAATTGCACTTGAAATATTTTGCATAACACCAGAATAAACAGAAAATTCGAGGAAGAACGGGCATACCCAAAGTACCGCCTCCAAAAGAGCACGCGCTACTCAAACGTGTCAACTGATTATAAATTCGGGGCGAAAGATGAAAAGTGTTAAATGAACTTAGCTTTTGTACAGTTAGATGAACTATTTTCTCTCAGAAAGAAAAGGTAACAATTACTCTACTTGCAGAGTAAGACCGCCATTGAAATAGAAAACTATCAATGCTTACAATACTTTTAAAGAATGGCTTATGCTAATTTATGTTGTTTCCATTCATGTTGCCAAGACTTGTTAAGTTTAAAATCACATTCAATGAGAACTTTTGCTGGGTGCCAGTTTTGTCTTTCCATTTAAGATGGCTCGTACCGGTTTTCATCTTTTTGTTGGTTCGTAACTTTGAAAGAATACAACAGAAAGACTAACTAAGGCCAGTTGAACACTTTTACGGGGTTGAATTATAGAATAATTGGTTATCTAAAAACAGGTGTCATTTCGTCACTAGCAGTTTCCATGGCAACGCTTTCATAGGCGTATTAAGATGCATTTAGATACAATGAATATATGAAGTTCATATATTCTTAGCTTGTGGCTGAAATAATTCGAAAACTAACCCGGTGACCCCGTGGTTATTTTCCGTGATTGATTTTGGCACTTTAAAAGGAAAATGCACAAAGATTTTTAAAAAACTATACGGAGCGGAATTTCAGAAAATCTAGAAAAAAAAGCAATTTTCACACATCGCAAATTTCCTTCCGTATAATTTTCTATTTTTTTTTCTGATGATTCTTTTCGACGTTATTATCATATTGGAACAATAAAAAGTTTCAGTTCTTATAGGCGGGTTTTTACTGTATTATCTAGTGACCTTCTGGGGTGAGAAAAAAACTTGACAGTTTTAGAGCTGACAAATAAAAGAATTCAATCGACTTGGTCGGCTTTACTTTATGCTCTTCCTACCAGAGAATCTAGCCAGTTTCAAAAATACTATTAGAAAATTACATGTCGACTTGAACGCGTTTTAGTTTCATGAAGAAGCTGTCGTTATTACCAAGAAATCCAAAAATTTTATTTACATTTGATTAGCAGATTGTTATAATTTCATTTAAGATAATATTCAATTTAATTTAATTAATTTTAATATCATATTTGTAAATTTTTTATTATCAATGTTTGTATTTTGTAATTATTTGTAATAGTAGGTCCACATCAGCCTCTGGCTGCCTTTTTTTTCAACTTACTTCTCAAATAAAGTATGTATGTATATATGTATGTATGTATATATGTATGTATGCATGTATGTATACCCTTCTTTCGTAAACAGGTAGAATTTTTGGCTTGAAGCTTATTCTCTATGGAACCAAGAAAGATCCTCTCGCTGAAAACTATCATGTCCACAGAAATATTAAGAAAGTAAAGGTTGTCAACATTGACCGTCGAAAAAGAGGTAAAGTGACGACAAGAAAAAACTAACTCATGATTATGTAGGATATCAATTGATTCTTAAACTGTTTTATACCACAAATACGTTAAAAAAATCATGCTCTTTGATACATGACTAAGAAGTGGGTCGGCAACTGTGGCCGAGGCAACAGGACAACATGAATAAAGTAATAGTTATCAGGGACTCTCTTCACCAAATTCAAAATTCTCTCAGATTCCCGAAAATCTAACAGATTTGTTCTCGTCCTCAGAAATCCCCATTCACGGTGGTTATTCATGGTGGAGCTACTGGGGAGAGTGTAGTGAGAAATGTGGAAAAGGAACTCAAAAACGCTATCGCAAGTGCACAAATCCCCCACCAGAAAATAATGGAAGAGACTGCAAAGGGCCAAGTGAAGATTTAAGAAGTTGTCGAGGTTACAGGTGCCCAGGTAAAGGATAATATCAAGGAGGGATTTAGCTTTAAATTCAATTTCACGCTTTAGCATTCCACTCACGGTTTAAATAATCAGCGTACACGAACATTAAATGTGCAGTGAACGAAGGAAACTGATGCCATTGTTTGCAGTTAAAGGTCTTGCAGAGCATTAAAGGTTAAAGGCATACTTTGAGGTCTTGAAAAAAAAAAAACAAAACAAAAACAAAAACCTCTAATCAATGAAAATGGAGACCTCGACGCGCCAAGATTTGCGAGTCATCCTAAAATTTTAATTTGAAGGTAACGACTTGTATTTCTGTTGTTGTTATACTTATTCTAGACGATAAACCTTAACATAAGGTGCGGTTATTTTCCAAATACAAACGAGTGTGTCCTCCATGGTTTCTGGACAAACGTATCCCTTCAGCCGGAAAAAAGAGTCTCTAGCTTCTGGCGCTATCATTCTGCACAGGAGTTGATGTGGTGCATAAGCTTATCATTTTTGGAGACTAAAATGACCAATAAGCTAACTAGAAATGCAATAGTTTAGGCTCCGACTAGATCTCCTGCTTTCGTGTTAGGATGTTCTGAGTCAGGCTATGAACTGGGCTCAACGACGGATCCCAATATTTACTATATTTCTTCGGCGTCTACTTCATGAATGTGAGGTCTGTCCTCTTTTAAGACTATGAGATCTAAACCTCCTGGTTTTGGTAAGCGCTTCCCGACCTTATCCGGTTACTGTCAGTTCATTTTGTTTCGTTCTCATCCACTCACTATTTGCTTGATACCTTCGTTGTCGTTATTATTGTGATAGACCATACATCTTCTTGGTTGTCTTATCTTAGTTGATGGAGGTTACTCGCAATGGACCAAATGGTCTAACTGCAATGTGGAATGTGAAAATGGAACTCAGGAGCGTCGTCGGTCCTGTAACAGTCCGCGACCTAGGTTTGATGGGAAGCCATGCGTAGGGTCTAATAAAGACGAAAGGTCATGTAGCAGCCATGCTGAGTGCCAAAAACGCGGTAAAACGTTATCAAAATTTGATTTTTTTTACATACATTACCTTTTTGTCACACCTTATTGTCTCTGGTCATCGATGCTAGATAAGTTATTCCTGTAATTGAGAATTTTTCAATGGAAGAGTCAGAGGGTTTTTTAAGTGAAAGGTCACTCAGCCGTCCTGATTAATTTCGAGACAAAAATTCAACAACAGTAAACAGCTCAGTTGGAGCTGTGTAAACAAAGTACCGTCCAGTAAATTTTTCGCAAAATATTTCCTCAAACTCATTTTACCATCTGTTTCTACCTGTTTTTATAAAACTCCATGAAGAACTCCGTCAAGCGCAGGGAGCGCTTTAAAGTATTTTAAGGACTCTTTTTTGATAACTTCATTTCTGCAATACTTTATCCAGATTTTAGCTTCATTTGCCAACGGCAAATGGACCTGTTAAATAAAGACTCTTGCAAATTATCAGCTAACATCATTTTTAAACACACTAGTAGTATTAGAACACCAGAAGTGTGTCTGGAGGGAAGTCAGTTTTGTACATAAAGTGTAAAAGTAATTGAATGTGAAAGACCTGCAGATAAACTTATTAACCTTCGGCAATATTGACTCCATTTTAGTTTTGAAAAGTAATTTTTGATTCAGATATGTTAAAAAAAATCATGCTCTCTGATACACGAATAAGAAGTTGGTCGGCAACTATGGCCGAAGCAACAGGGCAACATGAATAAAGGTAAAGGTACCAAGCAATCTCTGCACTAAATTCAAGGTCTTGAGAAATAAATCTCAATAAATTTGGAAACCTCGACCTGCCAAGATTTGCAAGTCATCCAAAAATTTTGATTTGAAGGTAACGACCAGTATTTTGTGTTGTTGTTATACTTATTCTAGAGCGTAAATCTTAACATCAGGTGCAGGTTTTTTCTCAAATACAAACGAGTATGTTCTCCATGGTTTCTGGACAAGCGTATCCCTTCAGCCGGAATAAAGAGTCTCTAGCTTCTGGCGCAATCATTCTTCACAGGAGTTGTTGTGGTGCATAAGCTCATTTTGGAGACTGATATGAGCCATAAGTTAACTAAAAATGCAATATTTTAGGCTCCGACTAGATCTTCTGCTTTCTTGTTAGGATGTTCTGAGTCAGGCTATGAACTGGGCTCAACGATGGAGCTAAAAATTTACCATATTTCCTCGTATACTTCATCTGGTGAGGTCTCTCCTATTTTAAGACTTTGGGATCGAAACTTTCTGGCTTTGTTAAGTGCTTCCCGACCTTATCCGGTTACTGTCATTTCATTTAGTTTCGTTCTCATCCACTCACTGCATGCCTGATACCTTCGTTGTCGTTATTGTCGTAATTGACCATACATCTTCTTGGTTGTTCTATCTTAGTTGATGAAGGTTTCTCCCAGCGGAACGAAAGTCACCAAAATCACGGTAAAACGTTATCAATATTTGTTTTTGCTTTGGATACATTACCTTTTGTTAACACTTCATTGTTTTTAGTCATCGATGCTAGATAAGTTATTCTTGTATTTAAGCATTTTGTCAATGAAAGACTTAGAGAGCTTTTCAAGTGAACAGGTCACCTAGCCGTGGCTGTTTAACTTCGAGGTAAAAGTCAACATCGGTAAAGAACCCACTTGTAGCAGTGTAAACAGGTACCGTCCAGTAGATTTTGCGCAAAATATTTCATTTAAATGCGTAAGATTATTTTAAGAACTCCTTTTTACAACTTCTTTTCTGCACTGACTTTCACAGATTTTAACTTTTTATGACAACGGCTAATGGACCTGTTGATTAAAAATTCTCGCAAATCATCAACTACCGTCATTTTTAAACATACGATTAAAGTTTCATAACACCGGAAGTGTTTTAGGAAGGAGGTCAGTTCTGCGCATAAAAGTGTAAATTCAAATGAATGTAAAGGACCTGCGCATAAACGTATCAACCTTCGGCAATATTGAGTACCGTTTTAGTCTTCATAAAGCAGTTTTTGATTCATTTGACAGTTACTGCTAGCTGCTTTACTGACTGGTCAAAATCTTTGATGTTGAATTTTTGTTGTTGAAGATTATTACTTTGGCCTTTTGACGGTTAAATGTTGACCCCATTGAGGTTCTCTTTACTTTGCAATATTTGTTTCAGTTTGTGGGAACATTGCATCACCAACAAGTTGCCAACGGCACTTTGATGATGGAATGTGTTCCAATCCATCAGTTCGTAGAATGTGTCGAAAGACTTGTGGTCTATGTCCAGGTTTGTCTTATTGATGTATTCCCTTGAATGTGAGACTATGTGTTACTGCTACAGTTAATTTGAATTTCTCATTCAAGTGTTTTTTTAAACCTGAAACAATCCTTACTGAAGAATTCCTACCAATACAGTATTCGCAATTGTAAGAGGAGTAATTATTATATGGCTGTGTCTCACTAGGACGGGAACTAGCGAATTCACGAATTTGATTGGCTGAAATCAATATTGAAAGCGGTCTAGATTTTCCCATCTAGACTGGTATCTAGACCGGTCCAGAAAAAAAAGGCAGAAAGAATATAAAATATTGGCATGTAAGACACAGCCACATAATAAACATCTTATTAACCGAGCTAGGTCGGTCTGTATGGGAGAATCTTGACGGAGGTCGCCAGTACAGACCGAACACAGTGAGGTCTGTACTGGCGACCTCGGTCAAGATTCTCCAAAAACAGACCTCCCGCTCGGTTAATAAGACCTAAAATATAAAAATATCAAAAACCAAAAGTGAAAACAACTGGTGGATAAAGCTCAATTAAGGTCGTTAAAGCAAGGGTTTCTTAACAAATTAGAATTTACTTCTTGTGTAAGAGTGCCGACGATAATACAGCTATAATTTTTCTCTGAATTTTAGAGCGAAAGTGAGGTATCCAACTCACCGTGGCGAAATCAATCAGAATATTGTTCCTCAAGCGAGGACTAGGTCATCAGTATTCTACTTGCTGGCTTCTCTTTTAAAACAAACTGTTCGAGCTGTATAATGAAAAATATTTACTAAGAGTTATTTTAGGAATGTCAACAAAGCAAACTAAATGATTTTGTAGCTCCACTTGACTGAAAGTCCTGACGGCTGGCATTGCATTAAATTGTAGAAAATGCATTGATGATATATAATTACCGAGCAGGGCGATAATTCACTCATCCCAAAAATATAAAGTAAATCAACTATATTGATTTCCAGCTGTATCCACTCATGGTGGAACTCAGCAACGTTTGCGTTCATGTAAGAGAGGGGGAAACTGTCCTAGACGGGGACCATATACACAATCAAGGAAATGCAACACACAAAGTTGCCCAGGTAAATACCTTCTTTTGCCAACTGTTCGAAATTCGACAAGTTCAAATTAGTATAAGCAGCAGTGAGATCGTATCAAGAACAGAATCATTTATGATTTCTTGAGATTACTTGGCTCAAAAATTTAATCTTTTTGAGGATTGTACATCTTACGAGGGAATTTCTTAAGATACGTTCAAGCTGATCGCTCCAATTCCTTGATGATAAAGATACTCCGTGTACTATGCTTTACTCTTTGTCTCCAGTTTGTTTCTTGATGATCTCTCAACAAATTATTATTTTCATTGGACATATGTGGTTAACATAGCAATGCCACGTCCTCTAAAGAGCCCTCGGATTTCAATCCCTATTTTAGAGAAAGCTAATAGAATTGTCACCAGCTGGTTCGTTCTTGTTCAACCTGTTGCTTAACATTTCGATGAATTCTTTCAATGTCTTTTTTCAGTGTGTGCCAATATTGCAACTGAAAAATTATGCCAAAAGTACTTTGATGATGGATTGTGTTCGAATCCATCAATGCGTGGGATGTGTCAAGCGAAGTGTGGATTATGTCCAGGTTAGTCTTAGTGGCCCTCAATAGTCATGTTAAAAAATTAATCATTTGTGAAAGGAATGTTACAGAGAAAGTTTTATCAAGTTCGGCAATTCTCACTGGAACATATTCTTCAATTCAACACCAAAAACGTGCAATACCTCTGTTTTTATGGGCTGTTTTCGAGGAATTCGAAAATTTCCTAAAGAATCGGTTGCCGTGGTGACAACATATGGGAAGAAGTAAGAAGTTACTAATTCCTTAGTAAAAAACAACAACAACAAGATAAAGGGCTTGCTCATTGAAGTACCTGAAGAAAGATTTGTTGCTTCTGATAGAGTCGATGGGCTCTTTACCCCTAGCATAACTTCTTCCTGATGGTAGCAAAGGTCAGAATTTTCATGAAATTTTAAAAAAGCGCTTTATACCTTTTTTTCAGTTTGCAAGAATGCATTGACTGATTCACAGTGCCAAAAGTACTTCAACGACGGATCATGTTCTGAATCTTGGGTTAAGAAAGCGTGTCGGAAGACTTGTCTCTCGTGCTAAGCTAAATATTTCTGGATTGCTCAAAAGGCCAACTCCAATGTAGCTTTGTTGGTTTATTAGCTCGACGTTTCGACCGTCTCGGTCTTACTCAGGAGCATACTAATTACATGAGCAATATTCAAATTTAAAATTCGTGTCAACAGTAAACATGATAGATAGATAGATAGTTTATTAGAATATCGAACATGGCAGTCCGTAGACTGAATTGCGTTACAATTACTTAGAACTAGGAATAAATGAATTCCAAATACAAATTGAAATTATAATAAAACCATAAATGCGAAAAACTCTCTATATATGACTATGTACAAACTAGTCTAAAAAAGAAAAAAAATTATGTACACATACTTGGAATAAAAGTGTTCTTAAAACGATTTGTATGTGTACGGGGCATGGCATAAGCCCTGGACTGTCTTAGATTATATCTGTGTTCTCTCTTAGGAGGTAAGACAGGCACGAGTTTGTGATCCGGGCATGACGTGATAGACTCGAAAAGCTTGCTACACAGAGCCACGCGTCTCGCGTGCAAGGTTACTAAGTCGAACCTGGCCAAACATTCGAAATATGACGCATAAGGACAAATGATGGAGAGCGCTCTCTTTTGCACTCGTTCAATGTCGTCACTAAGATACTGTGGGAGCGCGTGATGGAAAACTGGCGCACAGTACTCTAAAACAGATCTTATCACGGTGCAATAAAAATTTATAATGTCGCTCAGTGGAACGTTTGCGCGCTTTAGAAGAACAATAAACNTTTTTTTTTTTATCGCCTCGATTGCTTTGCTTCGCTTCGTGTTTTGCATCGATTGGTTTGATTTCGTTTTGTCGATGAAAGACATTAAGCGCGTAAAGACCTTTATGACTACCTAGCTATCACTTGTTTAGCGTTTTAGTAATTCGCGTTTAGATCATAGATGACTTAACTAAACATTATTAAACATTGTTTATGTTGGATACGTATGTCTCGATGGGGGAAAAATAAATCAAATAGAGCAAGTAACAGATACTAGAAATACGTTCCGCGTTCACATTGACGGAAGTTTTGAGACATGGTTCAGAGTGTCCGTAAAGCTGAAGCCCGTGTGCAAAGTAGGATTGTGTCTCGCTGATACACACAGGATTTTGGGGACTGCAAGCTATAGCAGAAGTAATAACTTCACAAACCACCTTTGAAGGTAATTCAAATACTTCCTCTGTTGCTCGAGACATTTTTTTGTCTTATGTAGCCGCAACATTAGTTTCTCATTTCACTTCCTTGTGAAACGACATAAAAAGCCCGCCAACACTTTTCTACTGAAAAGCGCAAACCAAGTTTGTCAGGTGACAAGAACGCACGAAAAAAACTCAGCCATTTTCTTGATTGTAACCTGCCATGGTAAGTGCAAATTGTTTTAAAATCGTTTGAAGCTTTTTCGTCACATCAAGTTATATTTTCAGTGTACATCTTCAGTGGTCTTCACAAAGCCTTAGATCTGTGCATCCAGGAATATTCAGCGTTCTTCCTTCAAGCTGTCCGTTAAAATTAGGTTTTGGTGATCTCAGGCTGCGCGAATCTGTAATTTTATTTAATTCACTTTTTCGTTCAATTTCAGGGTTTTATTACAACTGGAACCCTTTCGATTTTATATCTCTGTATTTTTAACCCAAGTTTTACTGCGGTAAGTAGCTTCAATCTTCTCCATGTTGATTAAAATTAACTAATGTTGAGTTGGTAGGCGATTAATGAATTTAGTTCAACTCCTTCAATCAATGAAATTGATGAATTTTTCCAGGCGAGATTGATGCGAGAGCCTTTCCCTTACCATGTGAAGGAATTGAAGCATTTAATTCAATCAAATGTCTGTAAACTGGTCTTTAGTAAAACACCGTTTGAGTTTTGCATATTTTTGATAGATTGCACAAGATAAAATCGTGGAATAAGTGGACCAGAACGAGTACAAAGTTCACATCACGGAGAGAGGAACGAAATTCTTTGAGAAGATAAAAATTGACGAGGAAAACAATCTTGAGTACTTCCACGTTCCGGCTCACAATGGACTCGCCGAAGCGGACTACCTTTTTGACTTCAATAAGGTAAATGAGTTGCCAGATTTTACGCCAAATGTTTGAGCTGGGACATTGCAAAGTGAGTCGTTGAAAGGAATACGGAAAAAGTCTGTCAGTCTTCAATTTTATCGTGTAGCTGTTGCCATCTGTGAAGACAACAAAGTTGTCTTTCCTTCCTTTCAACCAAAGAAAGTACATAATCACTTCTTACTACACACAAAAAAGGGAGATTTATCGGCAGTTGAACTGTAAGTAGTACATAACAATAAACTGTATCTGCTAACTACGGAAAATTAATACTCTCTCATAATATTCATCGCTTCTGGAAAAACTGATTTCACAGCCGAAAGGTAACATTATAATAGTAATCAAACTATCACACTAGAGTCGTTATCAGTAATTTAAACCACTCAGTGTTAACAATTACAAGTGGTCTTCTCTTCTTTTCACAAATATCTCAGAAATAAATGCTAGCAATTATTGAGTGACCTACAGACTGACCCCTATCTCCCCCTCCCGCTCAGCGTCTGTCGAGGACTTAAAGATCCCTATCTTTTGTTCTTTAGAAAATATCGGTGCGTCGCCCAAAAAATGAAGCCAAATGTTATCTGGGACCACTGCCTCACACCTTGCCAAAGCCTGCTGATCTAAAGACTAGATTGCAAATGGTAAAGATATATGGTTGTATGTACTTATGTATGTATGTATGCATGCATGCATGCATGCATGTATGTATGTATGTATGTATGTATGTATGTAGACAGAGTGCACACTGTTTCGACCTATGTGGGTCTCGTCAGTTTTTTTATGTTTAAGGTGGACGGCCGGGCCCCCGATGAAGGGAGGTGCAGTGCCCGCCGACCTACATGTCTAAGCCCAACCCATGGCAGGCGTGCAATGCCTTATGGATGGGGTCCACCAGAAACGAGGGTCACCAGACGCCAAACTCGCTGGGGAATCGAACCCCACCTCACCTAAAGATTACACTCCAAGGAAGAACGCACTCACAATAGTAATACCAGACCAAAACCAAAACGATAATAATAGCCCCTAGCCAGCCAAGGGGTGGCACTGGAAAAAACCAAAACAATAATTATAGCCCCTAACCAGACAAGGGGAGGCACCAGAAAAAACCAAAACAATAATCATAGCCCCTAGCCAGCCAAGGGGAGGCACAACAAAAACCAAAACAGCTAAAAAGCAAACCGGAGGGAGTCACCATGCACGGATGCAATGACACCACGGGCACACCACTGCCGATAAAACACGCGACGACGCCTGTTAGACTACGT